GTTCTAGTTCAGTTCTAGTTCAGTTCTAGTTCAGTTCTAGTTCAGTTCTAGTTCAGTTCTAGTTCAGTTCTAGTTCAGTTCTAGTTCAGTTCTAGTTCAGTTCTAGTTCAGTTCTAGTTCAGTTCTAGTTCAGTTCTAGTTCAGTTCTAGTTCAGTTCTAGTTCAGTTCTAGTTCAGTTCTAGTTCAGTTCTAGTTCAGTTCTAGTTCAGTTCTAGTTCAGTTCTAGTTCAGTTCTAGTTCAGTTCTAGTTCAGTTCTAGTTCAGTTCTAGTTCAGTTCTAGTTCAGTTCTAGTTCAGTTCTAGTTCAGTCTAGTTCAGTTCTAGTTCAGTTCTAGTTCAGTTCTAGTTCAGTTCTAGTTCAGTTCTAGTTCAGTTCTAGTTCAGTTCTAGTTCAGTTCTAGTTCAGTTCTAGTTCAGTTCTAGTTAGTTCAGTTCTAGTTCAGTTCTAGTTCAGTTCTAGTTCAGTTCTAGTTCAGTTCTAGTTCAGTTCTAGTTCAGTTCTAGTTCAGTTCTAGTTCAGTTCTAGTTCAGTTCTAGTTCAGTTCTAGTTCAGTTCTAGTTCAGTTCTAGTTCAGTTCTAGTTCAGTTCTAGTTCAGTTCTAGTCAGTTCTAGTTCAGTTCTAGTTGGTTCTACTTCAGTTCTAGTTGAGTTCTACTTCAGTTCTAGTTCAGTTCTAGTTCAGTTCTAGTTCAGTTCTAGTTCAGTTCTAGTTCAGTTCTAGTTCAGTTCTAGTTCAGTTCTAGTTAGTTTAGTTGTTCAGTTCTGGGTTTTATGCTGCGTAGACTGGACATTAATTCTGCACCCACTGCTTATGGATCTGTGTAGTAAAATAGGATGAGAAAAAAGACACTTTATTCTACAAAGAGCATTAGAAAGCCAACCTGAATAGTCGATTACTATAACAATGCCTCATTCACTCCTTCAATATATTCAAAAGATGAAAATGGTGGAGTTTAGTGCTGAAAAGCCCATGTAATTTATATCAAGAAAAACATTTTATATATCCTGGCGCTTCAATTTAATTATTTTAATGCATGATGACAATTTCGAAAAACAATTTTCGTCAATAATTATTTGTTTTAACAAATTTAAATGCTGTTTACCAATATATAATTATATGCTCCTAATATATAATTTATTGCTAATATACTCGTCGTGATTACAGCACTTTATTAATAGATAATTTCATTTGTTTTTATTTTTTTCAATTTACTTTGTAATACATTACAGGTGATTTTTTTTAAATTAATTATTTATACTGTTAAATACGTAGTTTTTTTTAATCCGCCCCTAAAAAGAGAAATTTCTTGATCTGAAAACCCTTTGTAAATAAATAAAATTTCAAGTGCAAAATTGCAGTTTATTTAAGTGTAAAAGCTTTTTATTCATATTTGCTTTGTATCACTGAATTTTAGAATGGAAATAAGAGCAAGTGAGAGAAGAAAAGCTTTTCAAAGTTATATTTAAAAGTGACCAGCTAAATATTTGTTGTTTGTTCATTACATTAATTTTTATTTATAAATTTTGATTTTCCAAAGGAAACGTTAAAAATTTAAATTTTAATTCAAAATTTATTAAATATTTATTTACTATCACATTCAGGAATGGAAAATTCAGTACTATTGCACTTTTTTCAATAAATGTTGACATAGAAAATACTGTTGTGCGGAATAATTTATTTTATATAGTTCAGTTCTAGTTCAATTCTAGTTCAGTTCTAGTTCAGTTCTAGTTCAGTTCTAGTTCAGTTCTAGTTCAGTTCTAGTTCAGTTCTAGTTCAGTTCTAGTTCAGTTCTAGTTCAGTTCTAGTTCAGTTCTAGTTCAGTTCTAGTTCAGTTCTAGTTCAGTTCTAGTTCAGTTCTAGTTCAGTTCTAGTTCAGTTCTAGTTCAGTTCTAGTTCAGTTCTAGTTCAGTTCTAGTTCAGTTCTAGTTCAGTTCTAGTTCAGTTCTAGTTCAGTTCTAGTTCAGTTCTAGTTCAGTTCTAGTTCAGTTCTAGTTCAGTTCTAGTTCAGTTCTAGTTCAGTTCTAGTTCAGTTCTAGTTCAGTTCTAGTTCAGTTCTAGTTCAGTTCTAGTTCAGTTCTAGTTCAGTTCTAGTTCAGTTCTAGTTCAGTTCTAGTTCAGTTCTAGTTCAGTTCTAGTTCAGTTCTAGTTCAGTTCTAGTTCAGTTCTAGTTCAGTTCTAGTTCAGTTCTAGTTCAGTTCTAGTTCAGTTCTAGTTCAGTTCTAGTTCAGTTCTAGTTCAGTCTAGTTCAGTTCTAGTTCAGTTCTAGTTCAGTTCTAGTTCAGTTCTAGTTCAGTTCTAGTTCAGTTCTAGTTCAGTTCTAGTTCAGTTCTAGTTCAGTTCTAGTTCAGTTCTAGTTCAGTTCTAGTTCAGTTCTAGTTCAGTTCTAGTTCAGTTCTAGTCAGTTCTAGTTCAGTTCTAGTTCAGTTCTAGTTCAGTTCTAGTTCAGTTCTAGTTCAGTTCTAGTTCAGTTCTAGTTCAGTTCTAGTTCAGTTCTAGTTCAGTTCTAGTTCAGTTCTAGTTCAGTTCTAGTTCAGTTCTAGTTCAGTTCTAGTTCAGTTCTAGTTCAGTTCTAGTTCAGTTCTAGTTCAGTTCTAGTTCAGTTCTAGTTCAGTTCTAGTTCAGTTCTAGTTCAGTTCTAGTTCAGTTCTAGTTCAGTTTCTAGTTCAGTTCTAGTTCAGTTCTAGGTCGTGTTCTAGTTTCATTCTAGTTCAGTTCTAGTTCAGATTCATAGTTCAGTTCTAGTTCAATTTCTAGTTGCAGTTCTAGTTCAGCTTCTAGTTCAGTTCTAGTTTCCAGTTTCTAGTTCATTTCTAGTTCAGTTCTAGCTTCAGTTCTAGTTCTAAGTCTAGTCAGTTCTAGTTCAGTTCTGTTCAGTTCTAGTTTCAGTCTAGTTTCAGTTCTAGTTCCAGTTCTTAGTTCAGGTTCTAGTTCAGGTTCTAGTTCAGTTCTAGTTCAGTTCTAGTTCAGTTTCTAGTTCAGGTTCTAGTTCAGTTCTAGTTCAGGTTCTAGGTTCAGTTCTAGTTCAGTTCTAGTTCAGTTTCTAGGTCAGTTCTAGGTTTCAGTTCTGTTCAGTTCTAGTTCAGTTCTAGTCAGTTCTAGTTCAGTTTCGAGTTCAGTTTTCTAGTTCCAGTTCTAGTCAGTTCTAGTTCAGTTCTAGTTCAGTCTAGTTCAGTTCTAGTTCAGTTCTGTAAGTTCTAGTCTAGTTTAAGTTCTAGTTGCAGTTCTAGTTCAGTTCTAGTTTCAGTTTCTAGTTCAGTTCTAGTTCAGTTCTAGTTCAGTTCTAGTTCAGTTCTAGTTCAGTTCTAGTTCAGTTCTAGTTCAGTTCTAGTTCAGTTCTAGTTCAGTTCTAGTTCAGTTCTAGTTCAGTTCTAGTTCAGTTCTAGTTCAGTTCTAGTTCAGTTCTAGTTCAGTTCTAGTTCAGTTCTAGTTCAGTTCTAGTTCAGTTCTAGTTCAGTTCTAGTTCAGTTCTAGTTCAGTTCTAGTTCAGTTCTAGTTCAGTTCTAGTTCAGTTCTAGTTCAGTTCTAGTTCAGTTCTAGTTCAGTTCTAGTTCAGTTCTAGTTCAGTTCTAGTTCAGTTCTAGTTCAGTTCTAGTTCAGTTCTAGTTCAGTTCTAGTTCAGTTCTAGTTCAGTTCTAGTTGAGTTCTAGTTCAGTTCTAGTTCAGTTCTAGTTCAGTTCTAGTTCAGTTCTAGTTCAGTTCTAGTTCAGTTCTAGTTCAGTTCTAGTTCAGTTCTAGTTCAGTTCTAGTTCAGTTCTAGTTCAGTTCTAGTTCAGTTCTAGTTCAGTTCTAGTTCAGTTCTAGTTCAGTTCTAGTTCAGTTCTAGTTCAGTTCTAGTTCAGTTCTAGTTCAGTTCTAGTTCAGTTCTAGTTCAGTTCTAGTTCAGTTCTAGTTCAGTTCTAGTTCTAGTTGAGTTCTACTTCAGTTCTAGTTCAGTTCTAGTTCAGTTCTAGTTCAGTTCTAGTTCAGTTCTAGTTCAGTTCTAGTTCAGTTCTAGTTCAGTTCTAGTTAGTTTAGTTGTTCAGTTCTGGGTTTTATGCTGCGTAGACTGGACATTAATTCTGCACCCACTGCTTATGGATCTGTGTAGTAAAATAGGATGAGAAAAAAGACACTTTATTCTACAAAGAGCATTAGAAAGCCAACCTGAAATAGTCGATTACTATAACAATGCCTCATTCACTCCTTCAATATATTCAAAAGATGAAAATGGTGGAGTTTAGTGCTGAAAAGCCCATGTAATTTATATCAAGAAAAACATTTTATATATCCTGGCGCTTCAATTTAATTATTTTAATGCATGATGACAATTTCGAAAAACAATTTTCGTCAATAATTATTTGTTTTAACAAATTTAAATGCTGTTTACCAATATATAATTATATGCTCCTAATATATAATTTATTGCTAATATACTCGTCGTGATTACAGCACTTTATTAATAGATAATTTAATTTGTTTTTATTTTTTTCAATTTACTTTGTAATACATTACAGGTGATTTTTTTTTAAATTAATTATTTATACTGTTAAATACATGGTATATACACAAAGTATTATAAAATAAAAACCATTTAATATAAACAACATAATTAGATGTGGGTTTATTTTTAAAAATTTTATCTATAAAATATTGAATTATTGATTATTTTCTTGTTAGATATGTTATTTTTCAGTGCTTTTATTTTGTGTTTAGTGTTTGTTATTTTAAAACCGTCAAGCTACTTTGATGATGATAATAATGATGTCTTTAGCAGGTTTTAAATATACCTCATCGATATAAAAAGGATAGAAAATATAAAAGCAGCATGTGCTTGCCTGGTATAGCCAAGCACATGCTGCTGGGTAAAGTGAGTAAAAGGATGTCTGCTAAATTGCTACATCCATTTAGGAATTTAGACATGTATACACACAACAATTCAACTACTTAGATAAATAACCACATTTACAAGTAGTAGATACTTAAATTCAAACTTACTATGTCCTCTTCCGGTATAGTGGTACAAGATGTACGTGTATAACGTGGTCTATTTACCACATCAAAACTGTAACGATGCTCCTCTAATGGGGGGCACATGATCATCATGATTATGATGTGTTAGACTATTACGCTGTGCCATACGAGCAGCCAGTTGGGCGCCACCATCCGAAAAAGAACGTATACGTATGACACCGTTGTCATCGGTGGTTAATGAAATGGCCTTAAAACGATCAACAACAGCCGTTTGGATTTGATTAACATTCATGGAATTTCCCATGTTGTTAAGACTTTTATTTTTTTCTTTACGTAATCAAATGCAAAGTTTTTTATGAGTTTTTACGAACTTATTTGATTTCCGGTTTACGAGTTTTACAAATACATATGCATAGATAAGTTTTTCGAAGAGAAATAATTAATAAAGGTTTGGCAAATATAGAAAGATCGATTAACACAAGCATCAATAGATTTGATTCTTTCGCAAAATGGAATGCGAATTTTAACAATAAATAATAATAAATATGTATATAAAAAGATTAACTACAACAACAACACTACCGCACTTGGCCAGGATAAAAAGAAAACTGAACCTCCTCTCTGAATACAACTTTGCATGACCAGACACAACAAATAGTAGCAACAAAAACGTAAGCAGTATCGCTACTTTAAATAAAAAACCATGCAGTTCGGGAAGGTTGTTTAGAACAAATTAAAACATTAGTTATTTGTCAAATTTTCACTGCTATTACAAAAGGACGATTCTGTTATGCTAAATTGCTACTTTATGTACAGCATAGAAAATATGCATGTTTCGATGTCCCAAAAGGATGCATCAGCTCCTTTAAAACTGCTGGAATCTATATGGAGTTTGATTGTGAGTGTGCATGTGTTTAAGTATGTATTGGTTGGTATTCAACAGGCTGTTTATAATGACGTTTGCTTGTTTGTCTCATTTTGTTTGAGGATGTAGAACTGATTGAAACATATTCATACACTTACACATACATACCGAATAGAAGGACGTAACAAATACATTTGTAAACGATTTAACGGCGTAATTTTATATGTTCTAGTTCAGTTCTAGTTCAATTCTAGTTCAGTTCTAGTTCAGTTCTAGTTCAGTTCTAGTTCAGTTCTAGTTCAGTTCTAGTTCAGTTCTAGTTCAGTTCTAGTTCAGTTCTAGTTCAGTTCTAGTTCAGTTCTAGTTCAGTTCTAGTTCAGTTCTAGTTCAGTTCTAGTTCAGTTCTAGTTCAGTTCTAGTTCAGTTCTAGTTCAGTTCTAGTTCAGTTCTAGTTCAGTTCTAGTTCAGTTCTAGTTCAGTTCTAGTGCAGTTCTAGTTCAGTTCTAGTTCAGTTCTGTTCAGTTATAGTTCAGTTCTAGTTCAGTTCTAGTTCAGTTCTAGTTCAGTTCTAGTTCAGCTCTAGTTCAGCTCTAGTTCAGTTCTAGTTCAGTTCTAGTTCTAGTTCAGTTCTAGTTCCGTTCTAGTTCAGTTCTAGTTCGTTCTAGTTCAGTTCTAGTTCAGTTCTAGTTCAGTTCTAGTTCAGTTCTAGTTCAGTTCTAGTTCAGTTCTAGTTCAGTTCTAGTTCAGTTCTAGTTCAGTTCTAGTTCAGTTCTAGTCAGTTCTAGTTCAGTTCTAGTTCAGTTCTAGTTCAGTTTCTAGTTCAGTTCTAGTTCAGTTCTAGTTCAGTTCTAGTTTCAGTTCTTAGTTCAGTTCTAGTTCAGTTCTAGTTTCATGTTCTAGTTCTGTTCTAGTTCTGTTCTAGTTCTGTTCTAGTTCTGTTCTAGTTATGTTCTAGTTCTGGTCTAGTTCTGTTCTAGTTCTGTCTAGTTTCTGTTCTAGTTCTGTTCTAGTTCTGTTCTAGTTCTGTTCTGTTCTAGTTCTGTTCTAGTTCTGTTCTAGTTTGTTCTAGTTCTGTTCTAGTTCGTTTGTTCTAGTTCTGTTCTAGTTCTGTTCTAGTTCTGTTCTAGTTCTGTTCTAGTTCTTGTTCTGTTCTGTTCTAGTTCTGTTCTAGTTCTGTTCTAGTTCTGTTCAGTTCTGTTCTGTTCTGTTCTGTTCTGTTCTGTTCTGTTCTGTTATGTTCTGTTTGTCTGTTCTGTTCTAGTTCTGTTCTGTTCTAGTTTCTGTTCTAGTTCTGTTCTAGTTCTGTTCTAGTTCTGTTCTAGTTCTGTTCTAGTTCTGTTCTAGTTCTGTTCTAGTTCTGTTCTAGTTCTGTTCTAGTTCTGTTCTAGTTCTGTTCTAGTTCTGTTCTAGTTCTGTTCTAGTTCTGTTCTAGTTCTGTTCTAGTTCTGTTCTAGTTCTGTTCTAGTTCTGTTCTAGTTCTGTTCTAGTTCTGTTCTAGTTCTGTTCTAGTTCTGTTCTAGTTCTGTCTAGTTCTGTTCTAGTTCTGTTCTAGTTCTGTTCTAGTTCTGTTCTAGTTCTGTTCTAGTTCTGTTCTAGTTCTAGTTCTGTTCTAGTTCTGTTCTAGTTCTGTCTAGTTCTGTTCTAGTTCTGTTCTAGTTCGTTTCTAGTTCTGTTCTAGTTCTTGTTCTAGTTCTGTTCTAGTTCTGTTCTAGTTCTGTTCTAGTTTCTGTTCTAGTTCTGTTCTAGTTCTGTTCTAGTTCTATTCTAGTTCTGTTCTAGTTCTGTTCTAGTTCTGTTTCTAGTTCTGTTCTAGTTCTGTTCTAGTTCTGTTCTAGTTCTGTTCTAGTTCTGTTCTAGTTCTGTCTAGTTCTGTTCTAGTTCTGTTCTAGGTCTATTCTAGTTCTGTTCTAGTTCTGTTCTAGTTCTGTTCTAGTTCTGTTCTAGTTCTGTTCTAGTTCTGTTCTAGTTCTGTTCTAGTTCAGTTATGTTCTGTTCTAGTTCTGTTTTAGTTCTGTTCTAGTTCTATTTGTCGGCCCGTCAATTAAGGACTCAATGTAAACTGTAAGCATTACTGTTTATTTTGTTAGTTTCGCATTAGGTCGATTCGTTTGGTTAGGTGGATGAATAGGTGGCACGTCGGTTGGTTGTTTTGTACGTTTGACTGGTTGATAAGTAGAATTTTTAAAATGTTTTGTTATTTATGTCAAAAAGGGTCTTGTTATGATGTGGATTCTCCACAGTTTATTACTTTATACTTTTTTACAAATTTACACACATTTATATACATTTATGGGTTGTTGGACAACTATGCTATGGACAATATTTTTCTTGTACAAAATAATCAGCCTTGTTGAGTATTTGATTGGGTGCTAATAGTCAAACAACTACATACATTTAAAAAAAAAAAAAAGGTTGTGAATTTTCACACATACTTTAGGGACATTTGGGGGGTATTTTGTAGAGTGTTGAAGCTCCAAAATTTTTTAAATTTATTTCTCCAGTCCAGAATGCACTAAGTATTACATCATGCTCCAGTCGAACCCAATGTATCATGTCAAAAAAACTTTTGATAATTAACAAATTGTTTTTATTTTTATCCAAGTTCACAAAGTTTTTAAATTCTTTCAAAATTAAAGAAAATTTTAGTGAAAGTTAATTGTGATTTTTTTTAAAACAAAAATATATTATTTATCTTAAATTTTTAGTTTAGTATATTAGTGATAAAAATTTGCGATTTATTTTTGTTTGACATAACAAAATGGCAAGTGGAATAGTTTGTGGTCGCCCTATGTCTGGAAGAGGACGACGATCGCAACGTCGTCGTTCAGGAGGACGTCGTTCGGGTGGACGTTGTCTAAAACCAGGTCCAGTGGGGCGTAATCCTTATTTAAATTTCTTAAGGAAATTTCGTAAAGAAAATTGTGGCTTATCGCCCATTGAAACAATTCAGGAGGGAGCTAAAGAGTGGAAACGTCTGAAGAAAGAGGACAGATTAAAGTTTATAGAAGAAGTAAGTGTGATGGGTTTTACTAAGAAAATAGTAATTTCTGATATTGTTTTTTTTACCAAAAGGCATTTTATGCGCCCAAGCGAAGAAGGCAAAGCAATATGTCAAGCAGAGGACGAACCTCAAGACGTCGCACTTCCCGAAGAGCTGGGCGATCAAGAGGTCGTGTGTGTTAATTGTATAAATTTAGTTTAAATAAAAATTTATAATTTTGTTGAAGTGTGAATTGGTTTGTGTTGACAAGATTATTGCAAATAAATTACTCTTTAATTGGAAAACGAATTTTGGAAATATGAAATGATGGTTTTATTTAAAATAAGTTGGAATCGTTTTCCTCTCAATGGAATTCGAAGGGAAAATCACCCGTGAGGGGAACTGCTCTTAAAGATCTGGTTGTGGTCTTTTGATAGAAGCTTTTAGTGGTTTTTGCTTTTAAATTCACTCGTTTGCTTGAAGAACTAATACATTCAAAGTCCTATCCTAAGAAACTTAAATATCCTGTAAATCAATTTAAATTTTCTTAATAAAATCTAAAATTTAGAAAGCTTCTGATGGTTCTTGGTTTCATTGTTCAAATTTCTGCAAATTCTTTTAAAATCAAACCTATCGGTAGGACTATGTATATTCGAAGGACGATAAAACGGAAGATCACTTTTATGAAATTAAAATTAAACTTTCTTTTTTAATTATTTTTAAAATAAAAATTCTAGCTTTGTTTTAAAATTCAATCAAATTTTATAGAACATAAACAAATCAAATTTAATTTTGTGGAAAACTTTTCGAATTTTCTTTTTTTTGGTTTTTGAAAATATAAAATTTTGTGTAGCAAAAATTGGCGCCATACAGTCATATTTTGAAAAACCTAATGCCAATGTGTGTGAAAATATTAACGCTCCGCCAACAACCGTTCCCACACACATAACAATGGCACAATGTACACCGCGTAAAACTACAAGAATGGCTAGAAGAGGCAGAAGTGCCCAATGTCCAAGAGCCTGTCCCACACCAACGACACCACAATCTGTGGCTGCACCAGCAGCAGCTCGTTGTCTACGACCAGGTCCGGTTCAACGTAATCCATTTTTGAATTTCTTACGTGAATATAGGAAAACCTGTTGTGGTTTAACGGCAATTGAAACAGTGCGTCAGGGTGCAAAAGCATGGAAAAATTTATCAAATGAAGAGAAACAACGTTATATAGTAGAGGTAAGTGATTGAATATTTTGGTGTAGGTTTGACTAAATTTTCTGTTTTTAATAGGCTTTTTATGCTCCCAAGCGCCGCAGACGTTTAGGGGCTATGTGTGGTCCAGTTGGCCGTCGCACTCGTCGTGCTGGTAGAGTGTCAAAGCGTAGTCGTTCGGCTATGTCACGTAGAGCTAGATCTGGAAAATCAGGTTCACGTCGTAGGTCTAAGGTGTGTTAGTTTGTGTTCTAGACTTTCTTTTAAAAGTGGTTTGTGCAAGTTGTAAATTTATTGTGAAATAAAAATTTGTTAAAAATTTAAGAAAAAATATTTTAAAATCATCCAATTATTTTTAAACTTAAAAAGTTATTTTATAAAAAGCTTTATAAACTCTTTAAAAAGTTTTCTAAGCTTTTTCTGCAAAAAGCTGTTTAAACTTTTTCTATAAAAACTTTCTGAGCCTTTTCTGTAAAAAGCTTTTTAAGCTTTTTCTATAAAAATTTCTGAGACTTTTTTAAACATTTTTCATTTTAAGTTTTTTTTTTCAGCAAAATGATTTCTGAGCTTTTTCTGTAAAAAGCTTTCTAAGCTTTTTTCTCTAAAACGTTTTAAAGTTTTGTTTTTCTCTAAAGTTTTTTTTTTCTTTCTGTAAAAAAGTTTTAAGAATTTTCTGTAAAAGAGCTTTTTTAGACTTTTCTGTAAAAACTTTTTAACACTTCTATAAAAAGCTTTCTAAGCATTTCTTTAAAACGCTTTCCAAGAATTTTCTGTTTAAAAAAAAACTTTTTAAGACTTTTCTGTAAAAGCTTTTTAAGGCTTTTATATTAAAAGCTTTCTATTTTTTCTTTAAAATGCTTTCCAAGAAGTTTCTATAAAAAGCTTTCTAAAGTTTTTCTGTAAAAAAGGCTTCCAAGCTCTTTCTGTCTTTTGACTTGTCCAGCGTTTTCATAATAGGCTCAAAGTTTTTTCATTATAAAAATGATTTTATTTTATTAAAAATAAGCTTTTTAGCACTGAACAACAAACTGAACAGTGTTCAGTGGATGGTCAGTGTTCAGTGCTTTTTAGAAACAATTTTTGTATGTTTGTTGTAGCTTTTGAATCATTTTTATAAAAAAAACTTTTAGTATTTTATAGAAATATTTAGCAGCTCTTATTAAATTTTTTTGTTAAAAGTTTTCAAAGCTTTATTAAAAAGCACTTTTGTAGATATTTTTCATTAACAGCTTTTATAAAAAACTGTTTTGTTAAAAGTTAAAAAAAGCTGTTGAAGCTTTTATAAATAAACTTTTGAATCAAAAGTTTTATAAAAAAAAGTTTTCTAATTTTTTTTTTTTTTTTTTTTTTTTGAAAATTATCGTTGAAAAGCTTTTTGCAAAAAATTCTCGATTATTTTAGAAAATTTTTCAGTGAAAATGTTTTTCTAAAAAAATTTTTTTTTTAAATCGTTTTTAGAAAATTTAATTTTTTTTAAATTTCGACGACAATTTTGCATTAAACATTTCATTAAATAATGTGAATTATTTTGCGAAATTAAAACTGAATTTTTCTGAAATTTAACGCGTTACCCTCGTATAGCAAATGTTGATATTTCCCCTTGAAATCTATAAATTCCAATTGGAAATTTCATAAAACAAAGTAATATTCTATAAAAAATAATAATTTCACAATAATAACTCCTCCACACTTACCTTTTCTAATTTTTGAAAATACTGTCGCAAAAACTGTATGGGATTTTCGGGGCGACTGACGCACAGCTGTACAATGCAATCCTTGAGAACACGTTGTATACCATGAGATTGTATATAATTTTCGCATTCGCGTAAACTTTGTTGTTCCTCCAAAGTGTTGGCCATGTTGGAAAACATGTAGCAGTTGGAATAGCAGTAGAGTAGGAGCTGCTGTCAAATACTTTAGCGCAAACAAGCAACAATTACCAAATAGTTCAAGTATATAAAATTTCCTCTATTAGTGCGTGTGTACTTGAAAAGTAATTGGTTATAATGACTTATGTATGTCCTTTCGCTTCTAGCTGAGGAGGTTGTGGAGCAGTTAACCAAACCTACGACAGCAATAATAAAAGCTAAAAGAAATAACAGCAGCAGCAGCCCAACACAGCACCTACACTCTACCACTATTTTCTTGGGTTTTTTAAGACTATAAATATGAAAAATTTAATTTTTTCTGTAGCTCCTTTTTTTCTTTTTCCAGCAAGTAGCAACTACGACGCACTTTGTGCCATTTATAAAAACAAAATAATTAAATTTCAAAGTCTTGGCTTAAATTCACTTTTAAATGATATTTTCTCTTAATTCACTATAAAATTTATATGATATTTGTTTAATTATTATAAATTTTCTTAATTAAACACTTTTATTTTTTTCGTTTTTTATCACTTTTGCTCTACTACCACCACCTTTTTTCACGATTTTTCTACTTGGATTTTTGACGGCCTTTTTTCTTTTTTGTAGTCTCTTTGTTCTGCTCTTGTGTAAAATTTCTTTTTCACTTCGAAATTTTGTTTATTTGTGGTAATTTTATGTTATTGTTAAAGTAATATGTTTAAATATTTGTTTATTTATAAAATTAATAAATAAATTACACACTTGTTTTATTAAGAATTAAATCTATTAATTGGTTTTTTTCACTGTGTTTTCTTTTCTGCTTCTAATCCGTCTACGATTTTTTGTAATTCCCTTTTGGTGTTGATTTTGCAATGTTACAAAGGAAAAGGAGAAACAGAGAAGAAATGTCAGAAATGAAATTTGAGAATGACAACAACACAAAATGAACATTACAGCGGTTGATTTTGTATAAATGTTTATGTAAATGAGCAGTGCTTTTCTAACTGTATATTTATATGCTACAGTGAAGAAAATTAATAGAAATGCTTAAATATATGATTGTTAGTAAATTTACATTATCAAACAAGTATTATCATCTGTCAAAATTTGGTTTAAAAGAGAAGAAATGGTATAGTGTAAACGCAAAAATTATAAATAATACGATTTTTATTTTGATTTTAAAAATGCAGAGAGAATTTCATTTGATTTTTTTTAATACGTAAAGTCGTACGTAAAATCTTATAGTATATAGGCACTTTAAAATTCAAAAAATTTTGATCAAAATCTACTCGAAATTAAAAAATTTCTCATGAATTTCGATAATTTAATAATCTAAAAGACTTTTTATTCTGACTACAAATATCTCAAAAAAAGTTTCGCTGTATTTTAGTTTATAAAAATCATATCAAAATTCTACTATTCCATATAATCTTACTTTGATTTCTAAATTAAAATAATGTCATTGTTTCTGTCAACAGCGGTTGATTTTTTTCTACAATGTGGCAACATTTATGCTTTTAACAACTCTGTTTTTATTCCATCGTGAAATTTGCTGTTAACGACCGATATAAAAGGGTGGAAAACTATAGAAATTGTATATTAAAAAATACAAACATTTTGTCAATTTCAAATCGATTAGTTTTTAAAAATAAAATTAACTGATTATTTATATTCAAATATCAGACATTTTTTGAAAACTAAACCGGCTTTGGAATGATTTTAAGCTGACGCCGAAATTTTTCGAGCCAGCTACCGCCGCTGTTAATTTTTGTCGGCGCAGATCTCTGATTTGACAAAGTCGCCATTTTTTTCCTGCAAAGCATACGGAAAATTATCATCAATTGAAAATAAGAAAAAAAAGCTAAAAATATTGTTTAATTTGTGCATAAAATTAACAAAAGCGTGTGGAAATTATAAATATTGTTCATAATTAATAATTATAAAACAAGTTTTTTAAAAACAGGTAAGTTTTTCCCAGAAAAATATGTGTTTCAATTAAAGAGGCTACAAAATCCATATCGATTTTAAGGCAGATGCCATAAAATTATGAAAAAGAAGAGGGAATACAGAAAATTATTACATTCGCATTTCTTTAAAATATTGCAAAATTAAATTTTTAAAAACTTTAGCTAATTTCTGCAGTTTAAGTGTTATTTTTTATGTTTTTCTTTCGAAAATGTTTTAATTACCTATAGAGGATTCCCCCGGCTTAACGGTGGGCTGGTGCATGTGCAAGCCGCTTGTAGTTCAATGTGTAAAGTTGTGTGGTTGTGTTGGTTATCACATAATAGAATTAACGAGCTGAAATTAACAAAAAATAGGTTGAATATTTCCTGTATACTGTTAAAAAATCAGTTCCCCTTGTATTTTTTACTGAAAATTGTTCATTGCCTTAATGACTCATTGATAATCCTCTTTGTTCTTTAATGAAACGTAAAATATCACGCATAATTTTGGGAGTTATTCTGTAAGATAAAAATATGGGTCTTGTTAAATTTTATAAATTTAAAACAATTAAAAATTACCGGTGAAGCACTGTTTGGCTCTTTTTGCTGCAAAAAGTAGGAAGATATAGTTTAAGTTCAGTACTTGTTTAGTTTTAGTTCAGTTCTAGTTCGATTCTAGTTCAATACAAAATCTTCTTAAGGTTATTAATATTTTTTTTTTGCCTTAAAAAATTGTAGAAAATGGTACGAGGTTACAATAGAGGTTATAATAACCGCGGTGGTGGCAGCTCTTCCCATCGTGGATCATCTTATCGTTCTTCAAACTACAATAGCGGAGGACGCATGCATAATAACGGACGTTCATCAGATCGTTATGGAGGCAGTAGTGGTGGAGGACGTTATAATTCTGGAGGTCACGGTGGCAGCAGCAGTAGTCACTATGATTCACGTAATCGTGATCGTTTTAATAGCTCTAGCAGCAGTCGGCATGATTCAAGTCATAAACGCAGTTACAATAGGGTAAATTAGAAAATTTTCTTGAGTTTGAAATAATTAATATTAAATTTCTTATGTTCTTTCATAGGACTCCTCACGTGATCGTTCCACCGATATGAAAAGATCTCGTCAAGACGTGAGTATTTTAAATTTCAATTACTAACACTTTATTAATCCTTTCATACCATGCTTAAACTTGCAAAACTAAAAAAACTATATAATTATATATGAAATATATAAAAAGTAACATTTGAAATGATAAGATACAAAATTTATTAACCAAACAAACTTAATTATGATAATAATTTTATTATTTTATGTATATTTATTATTATAATCGCAAAAAAACATAGAGTTTTATTTAGAAAGAGCACAAAAATATCGAAACAGTGATTAAAAAAGCTGTAATATTTCTTTATTGATCAAACATGCCTGGATATTATGTATAAAATGAATGTATCAAAAAAAATACATAAAATCTTTACACACCAATAGCAATGCTCTCCGCTACAATGATTGATAGACAAAAAAGCACAAGAGAGCTTATTGGGTTGACATTAAAATTAAAGCTATTAATAGCATATTTGCCCAATGAAAAAAGGCTTCAAAAAGTATCCTCCAAAATCAGAAATCATGTCTACTATCTACTACCTAATAACTACCTCTACTCTACCTAATTATCTACTACTACCACTACTACTGTATAAATATCTCTGTATTGTTGGTTATTAAAACAAGACAACCTTTAGCAAAATTGAGCCAAACTGCCTAGAATATAATCTAAATAATTACTGTAATTTAAAAGAAGTTTTGCAGAGAAAAACTTACAGCGAATAAACATAAAAGCATTTTTCATTTTATATGTATTTCCAAATGCCGAAAAGCGTGTCTTACCAAATAAAACAGATCAGATCCATAATGCGAATGAAGATTCTATTTCTATAATATCACTACCAAAATCAATACTACTACTACTACTAGCACTACTGTAATCATTGTTGCTATAAATGTATGTTAAATAATGTATTTAATAATGAAACGCAAGTCAAGGCTAGAGTGCATTCGAATGACCATCATGTATCATGTAACGAAAACAATACTTTTAATGTAGAAACAAAAACAGAAACCGAATCATTATGTTGTTGTGAACACTAAAATTCTTATAAAAAACAATGGTAAAATTTGGTTTGATAAATTTCCTCCTTAAATAGAAAATATCTATAAAAATATAAATAAAAACTATAACTATGTATGTATGAAGGCTTCCTGAAGCTCCCAAAGCACCCTCTTATGTTGTTATTATCAAATCGACTGCTACTACTACTACTACCACTTCCCACATTCTAAGCAAAACCAATAAATCAAATAATCATAGTTCTAGACTGAGACTAAGAGCAATAAAACGCGTATCTAATAATGACCAGAATAACATTAATCAATCATTTAATAGAATCACAATCAAATGAATAGAAACAAAAATGTAAAACTGTATTATAGTTGTGTTGTTGTAACATACATGATAATACAATAGTCAAGCAACTCTAGAAATTCGACTATCAAAAGTTCTTAAAGACAAATTATGTTCTTGTTGTTGTTGTTGTTTTGTTCAAAAAGATACACAAACAAACAATTTAAATAAAAATAAACTCGTCTACAAATCTATTCTCATCATCTGGTATAAATCTAGGATTATAGACGTACATCATCAACGGGTAGAGGTAATCGTACCCCACCACCACCTCCACCACCAACGGTATCATCCACATCACGTGGTGGCAACTCATCGAGACATAGTGATCGTGATAACTCCAAGCCCAGACATCGTTCTCCCATGGGACCACCACCATCGAAAAGAGCACCAGTACGCAGTGGTTTTGTCTCACGCATACGTGGTTCCAGCACCAGAGGTGGTGCTCGTACAGGACGTGGAGGTTCAGGTCGTATTGTGCGCCGTGAATCGAATGATTTGCGTATAATGAGACGTAAACTAATGTATGCCCAACAGAAAGATCGTGCACGTGTCTTGAAAATTGCACGTTTAACGAGGTAAATACTCCCACATTTATTCACACAATTGCAAAATTTTGCAGACATTCAGAAATGAGTTGAAAATTGAAGGTTTTAAGGCTGAAACTGCAACAGGGAACAGGGATTTGGGTTTTAAAACAGACGCAATAAAGTCTCCCCAAAGCATGTGGAAACTACTAAGACTGTTGTTTTTTGACATTGAATTTAAATCAATCATAGCAAATTCCCACAGTCTGTATAGTTTACCAAAACCCCTTCCCTTAAGTTAAACATAACGAAAAAAACACACACAAAACACCTTGAAATCTCAAAATTCTTTGCAAATGAAATGGCTGTATATTGATTTACCCGACAATTCCAGCCATCTATAAGAGCATAATTTTTGAATTTAACTACAAATTATTTTACTTTTGCTTTAACAAATAAACAAGAAAAATTCATGTTAAAATTTTATTGCCCCCCTTGTTAACTAAACATACATTACACGTCTATTAAAATACACACAAACAAATCCAATAATCCTCCATAGCTCTCTTAGACGACGTCGTCTTGATAGAAATTCCTCCAAGAGTCCACGTAGATCTTCAAGGAGTAATAAGAGGAATGCCTCATCCAGCGAGGATGAGGATGATGAAGGTGAGAAGAAGAAATCGAAACGCAAGCATAGCGACAATGAAGATGACGACGAGGACGAGGCGGAGAATGAGGACAAAGATGAGAATGAGGAAGGTGGTGAAACGAAAAAACGCAGTAAATCCAAACGTGCAAAATCTTCGGAAAAATCCAATGCAGAAGATGAGGAAGAGGACGAGACTTCGGCCGCCCGAGAAGGCGGTGACAACGACGAACATGAAGAAGAGGGTGGTGACGACGAAGAAATTGATGACAGCAAGTCACAAGCCGATAAGGATAAAGAACATACAGAGGGTGAAGAGGGAGCCGATAAAGCCGACGATGCCGATGATAATGATGTAGACGCAGATAAGACAACCACCGAAGCGGATGGTGAAAAGACTGAAAAGAAAGAAGGTAAGAAAAAGGAATCAGGAGATAGCAGCTCAACGAAAAAGGATAAATCATCAACGAGTGCCAAGAAATCCTCGTCTAGCTCGGCGTCAAAGAAAAAGGATGACAAGGATAAAGAGGACAAAGAGAGAAAGAGTAAGAAATCATCACGTAGCGATGATGAAGATGACTCTAAGGATCGCAAATCCCGTAATTCCAGACGTGATGAACGCAGCAGTCCCTCAAGACGTGGCGGTAATTCACGTTTCATTAAATTAACCTGTATACACTGTCACATGAAGTGTGTTACATTTAAGGTAAGACATTTCTTAACTTATTACATTAATTGAAAAGTTTTTCTAGAGTTTTTGTTTTACTTATAGGAATATTCTTATCACTTGAATTCTCGTACACACAAAATGGCCTTAAGACAAATTGCTATGCGCCAAAGAGCCCACCTTTTAAGATTACGTGCTCGCCAACGGGCCGCTCAAAAAGAACTCGAAGAGAAATCTAAGGAAAGCTATGAATCGAAATTCTGTCATCTTTGTCGTTTACACTATAGGCAACCGAAAGCTAAGCATCAACTGTCGGAACATCATAAAATTATGAAAAAATTCCTTATGCCATATTGCTCCACTTGTCATTTGGCTTTCAAGAGTCCTATATTGTATGAGACTCATCGTTGTTCTTTGGAACATATAAGGGTAAGTAGAATTGGAAGAGTTTTACGCTTGATTTTTAAAATAAATAGATTTTTGGAAAAGTCGAATTTTTCAGCGAAAAGTGCAAGTTTTCATAAAAAGTTAAATTTTCTGTGAAAAATGCAACTTTCTGTGAAAAATGCAACTTTCTATGAAAGGTGCAACTTTCTATGAAAAGTGCAACTTTCTATGGAAAAGGCAACTTTCTATGAAAAATGCAATTTTCTATGAAAAAATGCAATTTTCTATGAAAAATGCAATTTTCTATGAAAAAATGCAATTTTCTATGAAAAATGCAATTTTCTGTGAAAAATGCAATTTTCTATGAAAAATGCAATTTTCTATGAAAAATGCAATTTTCTATGAAAAATACAATTTTCTATGAAAAATGCAATTTCCTATGAAAAATGCAATTTTCTATGAAAAATACAATTTTCTATGAAAAATGCAATTTTCTATGAAAAATACAATTTTCTATGAAAAATGCAATTTCCTATGAAAAATGCAATTTTCTGTGAAAAATGCAATTTTCTATGAAAAATGCAATTTTCAATGAAAAATGCAATTTTCTATAAAAATTAAATTTTCTATGAAAAATCATTAAAAATTCCTTTTATTATTTTTCCACAGAACAAGGCCCGCAAACAAGACTCGGATACGGAAAATAGCGGCGACGAAGAAATGCGTGAAATTGATTTGAATAAATTCATGACTGTCGACTCAGTGGGAGAAATTGATGAAGAAATGGATGCTGACATGGAAGCTTTACTCAATGAAACCCAAACAAATGAGGAGAACAGTGAAGAGAGCGAAGAAAAAGAGAGAACACCAGTGGGAGCTGAATTTGTTAAGGAAATCACTGCTTTCTATTGTGAAATCTGTGAACATTATTCTGCTGACAAGGGTACATTGGAAGCTTATACTAAGAAACATTGTCTACAACGATCCCACTTGAAGGCCTACTTACGTCACAAGGAAGAAGAGAAACAAGCTAAGAAACGCAAGGAGGCTCGGGAACGCAAGAAGTCAGAATCAGATAAAAAAGAAGAAGGTGATAAAAAGGAAAAGAGTGAAAAAGACAATGAAGATGAGGAAGAGGTAGAGGCACATGAACAACAAGAGGAGGAAGAACATGAGGAAACTAAAGCCAATGGTGCGGAGGGAGAGGAAGAAGAACCGGATCATGATGAACATGATAATGATGAAAAGGAAGGTCAAGAAGATAAATTATGGGAGGATGTTGACAAGGATTTGGGAGATTTACTCCGAGAGGTAGAACCGCATGAACGTGATGAGGATGAAGAAGAAAATGATTCTGTATTAAATATAGACATTGAAAGGTAATAGGAAGTTCTTACAGAGTTCTAATGACCTTTGACAATAATCTATGTTTTTTTTTTTCATAGTGAAAAACATAAAACTAAAGAAGTGAATGGCAAAAAAGATGAAGTTAAAGAGGAAAAACCAGAAGAAGCAGAAACTGAAGAGGACAAGAACAAAGACGAAGTAGAAGTTAAAAAAGATAAGGCTGTTGCTGCTGCCGCAGCCACACCCTCAAAGCCCAAGCCAAAACGTACCACAAAGGCAGCCACATCAACGCCAGCAGCTAAAGAAGCTGAAGTTAAAGAATAAATTACTAAAATTAAGACATTAACTGGTTTGCAACTAATTTGTTATATATTCTTTTAAAACGTTTTCCTTAATATTTCGCCAACATTATAGGGCCAGTAATTTTTTATTCCAAACTCTGAAAGAAAAGCAATTGGGTTAAAAATTTTTTCTAACACATATAAAAAAAATTTCTGTCTCAACTTGTATTTACTTCACCTCATTTCTTTTATTTTTTATAGGTATTTGAAAATTACCTAACATCTTTTTTTTATTTGTATTTTTATTATAATTTTCTCACTTTTTTTTTAAAGATATAAGCAACAAGCAAACAAATAGACCTAACAACTTGTGAATGAATGATAAAAATTCAGTTTTTTTTTTAAACATAATAAATAATAAACTATAAACAAAATTATTTACCCAACCAGTGTATTAAATTTATTGCGGCTTATTTCCCTTTCTCTTTGATTTTTTTTCTTCTATAATAAAAGTGTTTGTTGTTGTCGAGTTTCAGCATTTAAACGTGCAATTTAATTAAACATTTATTCCAAGTAAATCTTTAAATTTCTCAGGCATAACAAAATGTTAACAAATGTGTTTCTTTTCTTTGTGTTACACTTCTTTCCGTTTTTTATGGTTACTAAAAGCTTCCGCTTATATTCTTTACGAAATTTCAATTTGTTGTTTTGTATTTAATATTTATTATATGAAAAAAAGTTCATATTTGGTTTGTAATAATTGCATTAATAAGCCATTCTTTTTTCCTTTCTTTAGCATTTATGGTTCAACGTAAATCTTTGGCGTTTTTTTTTTCTTTTTATTCCATATTAAAAACATTCACTTTTGTTTAAGGTTCATAAAGCTAGTAGACGTTATTGCTACACATTTAGCTCTGCATATGTTGGCCTTTTATTTATAGCTAATTTTGTGTTTTATTTAAATTGGTATTTTTATGATATTTCTTTTATATTATAAGCGGCTAGTTTTTGAATTAAAGTGTATTGTAGTCTACATTTATGAAAAGTTTCCTTTAAACATTGGTGGGCATTGTTAAATACAAATTTAATTGTGTATAATTTAAAACAAAGTTATAACAAAATGTTCAAGAAGTGGTTGTTTATGAACATAAAAGTAATACGAGGGTTGTAACAAAGGAATATGTCAATTGAATTGCAAGTTAAAAACGTTAAGGAGCCATAAAACGCAATAAACTAAATCGGATAAATAAGTAGAAAATTTATATTTATGAAGAAAAAACGGGAGGGCAGGACCATAAAAACTATGTAAAATTTTCGTATTAAAAAATGCAATTTTCTTTAAAAAGTGCAATTTTCTATAAAAAGTGCAATTTTCTATGAAAAGTGCAATTTTGTATGAAAAGTGCAATTTTGTATGAAAAGTGCAATTTTCTATGAAAAGTGCAATTTTCTATGAAAAGTGCAATTTTGTATGAAAAGTGCAATTTTGTATGAAAAGTGCAATTTTCTATGAAAAGTGCAATTTTCATAGAAAATTTCTTTGAAAAATGCAACCTTCTATGAAAAGTGCAATTTTCATAGAAAATTTTAAAAAATGCAATTTTCTATGAAAAGTGCAATTTTTTATGAAAAGTGCAGTTTTCTATGAAAAGTGCAATTTTCTATGAAAAGTGCAATTTTCTATGAAAAGTGCAATTTTCTATGAAAAGTGCAATTTTCTATGAAAAGTGCAGTTTTCTATGAAAAGTTCAGTTTTCTATGAAAAGTGCAATTTTCTATGAAAAGTGCAATTTTCTATGAAAAGTGCAATTTTCTGTGAAAAGTGCAATTTTCTATGAAAAGTGCAATTTTCTATTAAAAGTGCAATTTTCTATGAAAAGTGCAATTTTCTATGAAAAGTGCAATTTTCTATGAAAAGTGCAATTTTCTATGAAAGGTGCAATTATCTATGAAAGGTGCAATTATCTATGAAAGGTGCAATTATCTATGAAAATTGCATATTCTCTATGAAAAGTGCAATTTTTTATGAATAGTTCAATTTTCTATAAAAAGTGCAATTTTCTATGAAAAGTATAATTTTCTATGAAAGGTGCAATTATCTATGAAAGGTGCAATTATCTATGAAAATTGCATATTTTCTATGAAAATTGCTTATTTTCTATGAAAATTGCATATTTTCTTTGAAAAGTGCAATTTTTTATGAGTAGTTCAATTTTCTATGAAAAGTGCAATTTTCTATGAAAAGTGCAATTTTCTATGAAAAGTGCAATTTCCTATGAAGAGTGCAACTTTATAATACAATTTCCTATGAAAAGTGCAATTTTCTTTGAAAGTGCAATTTTGTTTGAAAGTGCAATTTTCTGTGACAAATGCAAAAATTCTATGAAAGGTGCAAATTTCTATAAAAGTGCGATTTTCTATGAAAAGTGCATTTTTTTATAAAAGTGCAATTTTCAATAAAAATGCAAATTTTCTATGAAAGATACAATTTTCGATGAAAAATGCAATTTTTATGAAAAGTGTAATTTTCTATAAAAAGTGCTATTTTCTATAAAATGTGCAATTTTCTATGAAAAATGCAATTTTCTATAAAAAATGCAATTTTGTATAAAAATACAATTTTCTATAAAAATGCAATTTTGAATAAAAATGCAAAAGTGCAATTTTATTCGAAAAATTCAAGGTCTGCCTCTCTGTGTTTTTAGGAAGAGAATAGAAAAGAGGCTCGATAGTCCCTAGAGAGCAAATAAGAAGATGATAATAAACTATGGAAGGATGAAAAGAAGAGAACAATAACTACATAAGGTGTACATTCTTCTAGACGTTAAGGATTTTGACTTTACCAAAACAGATTAAAATATCGCTCCCTGTCCCAAACATGAGGCATCTGCGTTAAAAAAGTATTGTCCTGCCTGTGGAAACAAAAATGAACAATGAATGACCCGTGAATAGTTCACTGGAAAAGGAACTTTGAACTGTTATTGCATAGCAATGTAATAACCAATTTTTTCACTCTTATAAGAAATTGATTGCAGTGTAAATACAAAAGCCTCTGACAGCAATTCGACAGCAATTTAGTGCCTATTTAATCGCTGATATTACAACTTTAGGAATACTACAATTATCGGTAAGTCTAAATAATTCCGTAAAGATATTAGATATGAATTATCATTGCGAAAGTAGAGTCTTGTAGTTAGTTTTGGCAGAAGATTAATTATGAGAACATCATCATCATATATGTTTTAGAGATCTCAATTTCCAGATATCAAAGTTTACGGGAAATTGCTGAGTTTTCTAAACTAATAAAGGAAATTGTGAGCTTTCTTTGAACACAGAGTAAACTACTATTAGATATATTCTACACATTATTATAAAAATTTAAAAATTGTCTGTATAATTTGGTTAAGAATTTGGTACGACTTACTACTTACAGTGAAGGCTAAACAAATTACTTGAGAAAATTAATTTAGACATTAAAATTATGGACAACAAGTTGTCATACGCACTCAAGTCTTAATTAAAACAATCATCTAATTGCACAGTTGGGCGTTTGAAAAAGATGACAAAGTTGTATAATTTTTCTTTTGGTGTTTTACTTAAAAGACATTAAATAATAGTTGTAAACAGACGTCAATGTAAATTAAAAAATAACTTAATTGTTAAACAATGTGTATGTTTTACCTAATTTAGTATATGATTTTTTTCTTCTATTGTTTATTATTTTTTTGGGTCTACATCTTTGATTACAACCATATACATTTTAATCACATCATCTATCTACAACTGTAATCTGTTAGATTTATAATAATTTAAGTTTTTCTCATAACGAAAGTCACACGCCCATACGATAGATAGCAGACGACGAATGTGAAAATGAAAATGATAAAAAAAACAACTGAATGAAAAATTGCAAATATTTTAATGAATTAAAAACTTTGGTTTATTAAGAGGAGTGTGTTTGGAAAATAGTTTGTGTTTTTTGTGTAGAAGAAACAAATTATCACATAACTAGATGGCAGCTAACTTGATGGTTCGTAGCACAAGCTATTTTTGGGTTATCCTACAACTACAATTTGGGGAAAATTTTGTTGCAATTGAAAGTATGAATTTGTATTTCTTAGTTAAATTAAATCATTATTTTTGTAATTAGTATTGTATAATAATCTTGCCACCAAGATGTGGAGGCTTTGGATATTTTTTTACCGAGTCTACTCTCGAGGTAATCAACTCATAAACTTTTGTGACCAAAGGTTATCTTCTCCTCTACTATTCTCTATTTTTGTCACTTCTCCTATTTGTAAGTTCAACCTGGTTGGTAGCAGAATGACTAATTAGTAGTAAAATAAGATTAGTTGCTAACAGCTCCTCCAAGGTGCTAAGACACGGAGTGGTTGTAATTGCTAGTCTAGTCCATGAACTCTGCCACGTACTGTCCCTTTAGGTGAGATTGGGTGCCTCTAAAATCTTAATATAATAATTTGAAGAAAAGAAGAGAACAAGGAAGAGTCGGAAAGATGTCAATGATGCCCCTGTGAGCACGATGAGGATTATTAATATAGGGATTCCACAAATATTTCGTTTATCCAAACCCAGTACATCCACATCATCTCTGTCCAGGAGAGATAAATTGTGAAAAAAAATTACATTATTGCTTTCACCAGAAGTCCCTCCTCTGGCCAGAGATGAAAACGAAGTTATAGAAATAATATGGCATCTCATTTTACTCTGGTAAGATTCATTGAGGATACAGGTTGGAGGAGTTTTGGGAATAATGAAGCAGATGTGGTTAAAGCAATCAACTCTCACCGAACTCTTAACAAAGTGCGACACTCGGATTGAGAGGTTGTGGACATAGAATTGGTCCAAAAATCCTTGTTCTAAGACTCAAAGCTAAAGCTAACCAGGAGAGATAGTTTGCTGAGCACAACTATGACGACAACATCCACCAGGAAACTCTTCAATGAGGTGGTGAAGAGCCATCTCTTAATGGCTGCGGTAACCAAAGGAAATGGTATCATTAACACAGTAGTAACTAACTGATTGTGATATGGGGGAACACTTGATCGATAATCGAAATAGTATGGCATATCATTTGATTCTGGTAAGATTGGGCGAGGGTATTTTGGGATTGATGATGCAGGTGAGGTTAAAGCGATCAATTCTCTAATCACCGACCTCTAAACAAAATGCGACATTGCCGAATCAAATAGCGGCGAATAATCAGTAGCATTCGAAATGAGATAACCCTCGGACACTATAACGGCCCTATCCACCAGACAATCCTTCAATAAGGAAGTGAAGAACCATCCCTTAATAGCTATGGCGACGGAAGGAAATTAACAATGTAGTAACTAACTGATCGTGATAAGGAGGAAC